GAAGAAGTGGAGGACTTAAATTCATAACTCTGCTAACTACTTATAATCATGGATTGAATAGGTACACCAGATTTATGGCTTAGTACAACCCACTAGCCCCCTTGTTTTGGCCTTTGACTGCAGAGGTGCTAATGGACAGCTCTACTTGAAAAAGTGTCTTACAATATGTACTACCAACTTAACATGCTGAATAATATGTTCCACCTCACATTTCGCCTGGATGCTGGGAGTTTCTTTCCCAGATCTGAAGAACAACTTTGTGACTCAAAAACTTCTCTCTCTCCAACAGAAGTTGGTCCAGTAAAATATATCACTTCACCCACCTTGTCTCTTTAATATCCTGGGACCAACCCAGCTACAGCTGCATGGCATTCACAGTATGTGGCAGCCCCACATACAATAGGCAAATGAGGAAACAATATATGAATCATAACGCAGCATTTATCTTACATTTTATGATGAATGGGTTTGAAGCAATATGTATTTCTAAAGAAATGATGAGTGCAAGTCATAAGCTGTTTGTCCTTACTTCCTCATTGAAGCCTTCATTGATTCACAATAGCTCATCTACTAATTAATTAGCAGGGAGAATGGCATGGAAAGTAATTAATATTAACATTCAGCTGTTATAATCTCAAAGCACTTTACAAATGAAGGCAAATATCATATTTCCCATTTTCTAGAGAAGGAAACTAAGTCACAGTTTATTGAACTTACTCACCTCAAGTCACATAATGAATTGCTGGCAACTCTTAGTCAAGTGCTCTCCCCTCCCCCCCTCCTATCATTGTTAAACCACTAACAGCTCAGAACTCTGAATACATGCTGCTCATTAGTTTTTCTGATACAGAACAAACCTTTGTGGCTTCTATCACACTTTGAGTGGACTGGGGAAAAGTACCAGCTAATGACAATGATGAGGATTCTATAGAGCACAGACCATCTTTTCTTATGCATGCACAGTGGGTAGTGCAGTGGGGCCATGATGCTTGATTGGTGGCCTCCAGACACTGCCACAATACAAATAATGCCAACATTCCCACTAGCTCCAGGATTGGACCCAAAGGCTGATCTGGATTTTGAAAGGGCCTACCTCCCAGGTATGTATCTATGGGTATGTCTACACTACCACCCTAGTTCGAACTAGGGTGGTAGTGTAGACATACCCTGTATTATTTTTATGAAGCACCTTCGGAGAATCTCTGCAAAGATCTTCAATATAAAAGTTGTTCAATGGTCCATTATTTGCTAATTGAACTCCATGGGGTTTCTGTATTCATTTGTTGCAACTGGTTTTAAAAATAAAAAAAAATGTTTATGTAAATAAATATAATCCCTACCCAGGTCTCCACACAGCATTTGTATTACAGGCTCTTGTGCAAAATCATCCTTTAGGGGTGAAAACAACAAGGAGTCAAGTGGCACCTTGGAGACTAACAGATTAGTTAGTCTTCGAGCCCTGGTATACACGAGGGCTTATTTTGAAATAACAAGTGGAGTGTCCACACTACCAAGCTCATTATTTCAAAATAATGGACTGGTTATTTCAAAATAATAGCTCTTGCTTTCCACGAGGAATAACGCTTATTTTGAAATAGTTATTTTGAAATAGCGGTAGTGTGGACACTGCACTGCTGCTATTTTGAAAGAACTACTCCTCAAAGTCATTCAAAGTAATTACTCCCCAGTGCTTCCTGAAGCGCTAAGTCAAGATAGTGTGTCCACATTAAGGGAGCCTGACTCAGACTAATTTCAAGGCTTCCTTGTAGAGTGCACATGCTATTTCGAAATAGTTATTTTGGGAATTATTATTTTGAAATAAGTTATTTTGAAATAATTTCCTAGTGTAGACATGCTTTTTGGTGCCACAGGACTCCTTGTTATTTTTGCAGATATAGACTAACAGTGCTACCCCTCTGAGGGTGCATCTACACAGCAGGGCTTAACTCAAAATAAGCTACGCAAATTAAGCTACATCAATTGTGTAGCTTATTTTGAAATAGAGCACTCTTCCTCTGACTCCCTTACTTCTGGGTTACAGGAGTAATGAGGGTTACAAGAGCTGGAGTAAGAAGTCCTCCAGCTTAACATTATTTCGATATTATTTCTAAATAATTGCTTGCTGTGTAGACACGGACTAAGTTATTTTGAAGTAATTTTGCTGTGTAGCTATACCCTCAGGTTATGTCTACACTGCGAGTTTTCTCAGCAAAAAATATGCAAATGAGGGACTCATTTGCATGAGTCATGATCTCATTTGCATATTTTCTGCCAATCTGTTTTTGCACTGGGGTTTTTATGCACCTTTTTGCACAAAAAACCCTTTTTCCGCAAGATCAGATCTTGCAGAAAAACGGGGTTTTGCGCAAAAAAGAAACATCCACACTGCCTGTTTTTGCATGAAAACCCCAGCGCAAAAATGGATCGGCAGAAAATATGCAAATGAGATTGTGACTCATGCAAATGAGCCTCTCATTTGCATATTTTGCCGAGAAAACTTGTAGTGTAGACGTAGCCTGAGACTTTTCACTTTAGGAGTGAGTTGGGGGATTGCTTTTATTCTGCTATCTAAATAATTAATTAAATCAATGGGCATGACTGTACTTGCTTGCCGCTCTTACTGATAGTTTAGCACATTCCTCAGCCATATTTCCTCCCAGGCTGTTGATCCCCAGAAGTTCCTGTCCCTCCCTCCAGCAGATGTTCTCACTTTAATCTCAGTTTGACACTCAACCTTTTATTTTCCTCATTTTGAGCTAATGAGTCTGGCTGCCAGCATAAGTCACCAGAGTCCCAAAGCGTAACATCCATCCTGTCAAAGCTAGTCTCAACACTACTTTATTCACAGAACCAAGCCTGCCTCATATAGAGAAAATGCAAACTTCATTTTGATTTTGGCACCATCAGGTATTGTTCAGACACAGATAATGTGAGATCAGAGTAGGGCCCAACTTCCCAGCTTGATTCTCACATTTTCATTTGGCTCATTTGCTGTTTGCATTATTGACCTTCCTATCATTAACAAGACAGTCTATATTTTTTTCCATTTTTATGTGTAGCTATGCACATCAGAAGAGAAGTTTTTGGTTGCTGTTGTAGGATTGTTTTCTTTTCTTTTCTTTTCTTCCTGCTCAAGACTGGGCCTCTAGAGGTATGAGTTCAAAGCCTACTTCTGCCCCAGACTTTCTATGTGACTTTGAGCAACTCATCTGGTGCCTCAGGTTTCCATCTGTAAAATGAGATTTTTTTTTTGCTACCATTTGTCTGCCTTGTCCAGTTAGAAAGGGTGGGGAAACTTTTTTGGGTCAGGGAACACTTACTCACAGAAAAATCAGTCAGGGACCACACACACTGGCCTGACTCCCAAGTGAGAAGCAGGAAAAAAGAGGGAGACACTCACCTCACTCATGCAGCTTGAGATACTAGAATTCCCCTTGCACTCCAGACCCGGGGTGGTGGTGTGTGTGTTGAGAATCAGGTCTTCTCCCAGGTCTGAATTAACTCTTTTAGTGGCCCAGAGTTAATAGATTTTGTGGGGTCCCCTGGTCTCTGGGGTAGAAACAAAAATTTGGGTTTCAGTGAGTGGGAGGGGGTTACTGGGGAGTGGGGTGGTGTGTGGGTTCTGAGTAGAACATAGGTGCAGGAGCAGGCTGGAGGTCTGGCGTCTGTGTGGCAGGTAGAGTGCAGGAGGTTAGCAGGGGATTGGTGTGCTTACCTGGCACAGCTCCTGGGAAAGGACACAGGTGGCTTTGCACTATCCTGTGCTTGCAGGCACCACCTCCCACTGTTCCCACTGTCTGCACTTCCCAGCCAATGGGAGCAATGTGGGTGGAGCCAACAGGCAATCGCTTCTCTGCACTGCTGTTCTGCCTGCTGGAGGGGGGGGGGAAGGTGAACCTTGCAGGGGCTTTAGCACCAGCTCCCCACTGCTTCCCCCTGCAGCAGGGAGCTAGCGTTTGTGCTCCAGATCGCAATGGCCTCAAAGCTAGGAAACTCACCCTGGGTTTATAGCACCAGAGGTAGCTTGCTCCTCTGTGGCAGGGAGGAACCCTGAATCTTGCAGGCTGGATCCAACCTGGGGACTGTAGGTTCCCCATCTCTGCCTTACAGTGTAAACTCTTTCCTTGAAGGCTGTCTCTTACTAATGTATGTACAGCACCCTGTGTGCAATGGGGCCTTGGTCTCATTTGGGAAATCTGCATGCTATAGAAGTGAAGTCCAAGGAACTTGCTGCTGTTGACTTTCGCTGCAGGCAAATTTCAAAGTCATGTGTGGGAGTATTTGCAAAATACAAATGTTATATTCACACTCACATTCAGCACCCACCGAGGGTTGATGGGTTGACTTGGGAGATCTATGGTTTGCGTCATTCCAATTTCTGCAGTTATCCATTTACCTACTTAAAGTAGTTTTTATGTCCTCTTCTGTGAGAGGACACAGGTGGCTTTGCAGGCTTGCAAGCACCACCTCCTACTGCTCCCATTGTCCACAACTCCCAGCCAATGGGAGCAATGTGGGTGGAGCCTGCAGGCAAGTGCTTCTCTGCACTGCATTCCACCTGTTGGGGTGGGAGAGGATGAACCTTGCAGGGGCTTTAGCACTGATGTTCATAAATGCCTTCCACATAAAATCACTAGCTACAGTAAAGGTCCCAGTGCACTTTGTGGTATTTCTCCCTTTCCTCTCTGCTTGGGATAGACCTTTGTTGTATTTTGTTTTTGGGGGGTGGGAGGTCTAGAGGCAGAAGGGAGTGTCACTGTAATTATGATGGGAAGGCTTTTCAAAGCAAAATGTATTGCAGCATTTCCTGAAGCTGCTCAGATACCAGCTGAGCCTGATCTCTGAAGTTTGTCACATACATACCCCACTGTAACTTCAGAATGGAAACTAAAAAAGCCAGCAGTATCAGCCAATCCATTTTACTCTTGGAGAAACACATGATAGATAATGTTATTGCACTGTGTGAGCTGCAGCATGATGTTTTATTTAATGTTTTTAAGGGGATGAAGGTGAAAAAGGAGATCAAGGGGAGATTGGAAAACATGGAAAAGTAGGCCCCAAAGGACCAAAAGGTATGTGCAATAATTTTGATAGTACTGATATAGGCATATTAACACAAATAAAACAGAACAATATGCCAATTCCTAGTAATGATAATGCTTAATACTTTGGACTAATGCTGTACCAAGAGATCTCATAATATTTTCTAAACATGAATTGATTAAACCTAACAATATGCCAGAATTACTATTAATATAGGTACTGCTATTGCTGTTATATACCATAAGAAAGTCACAGCTCATGACTGACTGAAAGAAGTCATGTGACTAGCCAATCAGTTTCTACTGCTGACTTCATCATGACTGAGGTTTGGAAGATTGTAGATGATCAGATCACATATGCACATCTCAGTCTCAAGGCTAGTTGATCAAAAGTGACCTGGGCTTAATTTCATCTCCTCTTCAGAATGTGAATGAGAGGAAAAATTGAAACATGTCTGAAATGACATCGCCATAATGGAGGGATTCACATTTAGCTCTGATGAGGACTGTTCAAAGTTACATGTAACAATACATATCCTGAGTTCATATTCTGACTAACAACATGGTTTTATTGCCCCCTGAGTCAAATAACACCTTTGGGCAAGGCGAGTGAGGCGGTCTCCTTGGGCCCCAAGCATTCAGGGCCTCCTGCTACCCAGTTCCCAGCTCCACCCACCCAGTCAGGAGCCGCACAGCCATGTAGCTCAGCATTATTTTGGGCCCCACCCACTCTTTGGCCGGGCCTGATAATGCCTGAGGTGAAACCTAGGCTAAGAGGCTCTAAATCAATAAATCTTGATTTTTATCTCAACGGAAGCCAATGTCTATGGAATTTTCATGTTTACAGATGAGCAAACTGATAGAGAGGCCCAGATCCTCCACAATGGGGGATCAATCAATGGGAAGTAGGAACCTGAATATCTTCAGGGATCTGGACCAGAGAGACTAGGTGAATTACCTACGGTCAAAGTGCAAGTTGCTGTCTAAACTGGGACCAGAGCCAAAGACACTCAGTACTCTGCTCTATTAGACACACCCTTTCCTTGGATAATGAACAGTACAACAGTATTCTAAGGCAAAGGAAAGTGCTGCTAATTACAGAGTTTAGAATAAGGTTTTTTGGGAGCCCCATCTCATAGTTTAACCAGCTGTTTTTGCAATACTGATGCATTCACACATTCATTCCCCCATTTAGCAATGGGCTAAGTATTTCAGGATGCTATTCAGCAGCACTGTTTTATATCGAGAACATTTTAAAATTCTATTTACTAGCTATTATATTAATACAGCTTCTAATTCTTTATTTACATGTGCTGCACCGGCCCATATGTTACATTTCTTCAAATAATCAAATAGTGACTGGAGCAGATGAGAAGGAAAGGGATCAGTTAACACGTGTGCTTATTAAATGTTTCTGTGGCATTAAACTCAAACGTGCACATGGAGAGCCCACAGAATTAGGATCTTATAATTTAGCTAGACAATTTGCGAAATAAAGCAATTGTGAGAGTAAAGGTACATATATTATCATCAGCCTCTGTACACCATTAAAATCCTGCAGTGACATGCAGCAAAAATACTAGTCCACCTTTGGCAATCTTGGCTTTACCGCAACTCAGTATAAAGACGACTGACCCTGGTCAATGGCAAAAGGGATTGAACCTGTGACCTTTGAAGGTAAAACCATGTGCCTCTACTGCAACAGCTAAAACCCAGCTGGCTCTCAGATAATGCTGTAGAGCAGACTTCACTCTCCCTCATCAGTGGTCCATGTGCCTCTGTATTCTGTAAGGATTACAGAATTGGATCCAGTAAGAGAAATCAAAGAAATACTTGTCAAACTATCAGTTATCCTTGGCTATGGATTAACTGTGTAGTATAATTAATATATGAATCATTTAAAATGTTTTTAATCTGTATTTTCATTATAAAGGATGATGCCTCGGGGCATATCAATTGAGAGTTTTAAAAGGACAACAAGCTTTGAAATGTCATGCTGTTTATTCCATTGTACTAGAGGTGGGAACCATCTATTAGCAGTCATCCTACTATGTCCAGACACATAGGCCTTGCAATGCTGAACAGACTAATCCCTGAATACATTTAAAATTCTAGGCCAATGAGACTCAGCTAGAGTTGAAAAAATAGGAGATCCCCTGTAAAAAATCAAAGGGAATCTTGTTTAAATCTTTTCCCCCCCAGTATGAAAGTTACATTTCTGATGGCTGCTAATAACTTGTCAATTGCAGAGATTGGCAAGAAGGATATAGAGCCCAATATTTGCCCAACACATCAGGAATGTTCAGAACTAACAGCATGAGCTACTCCAGAGCTAAAGCTCTCTAGTGGGGATGTCACAAACTCATATCCCCTGTAGATTGGGACAGAACAGGACCCATAACACACACTGGCTGATTTCACTTGCACTCCTTAAAAAAGTAACCAATCATCCAAAGAATTAAACAGTGTCCTGTCAACAGGTAAAACCATTCACCTTCTTTGCATTGCTTTCCTTTTCAGGAAACAAAGGAACGGTGGGGGATAGTGGTGATCAGGGGATGATTGGGAAAATTGGTCCAATTGGTGGAAAAGGTAATTTATGTGTTTCATATGACTATTTTTTTTCAAGATACATATTCAACTATGATATGATTTATATATTTTTAAGAATTACAGCTCTAAGGTAGAAATAATTCAGATTCAAATAATGTTTGATTTATGTTCCTCAACTACATGTCCACAGCTAATTGGGGTTGTGATACAGTCTGGTGTGTGCATATTCTACCACTTACCGGCACGTTTCAGATTTGACTAGACTCATTACATAATAAAAAGCACAAGGGGTATGTCTACACGACAGCGCTATTTCGAATTAACTTCATTAATAGTTAATTCGAATTAAGCTAATTAAAAATAACGCATCTATACACAAAAACTATTTCGAAATAGCCTTTTGCTATTTCGAAATAGCTCATCCACACTGAGTGGACCCTGAGCCAAAGTTAAGACTGGCCGGAACCAGTGCTGGCAGGGCATCAGGTTAGGACTTAGTGTGTGGGGCTGCTGCCTGAGGCTAACTGAGCTCCATGCTTAAAGGGACCCTACCCCCACCCCGGACAGACAGTTCTCAGGGTTCCCCGCTTGCTTGTCTGCCTCGATGGGGGACAGCAAAGCAGTCCTGTCTTGGAGTGCCCTGAGTGCCCGAACTTGGGATACCACAGCACTCGGCCACATGAGCCAGAGCTGCCCCTGGGCACACCGGTGCGTCTCATGGGGTCGTTGCCATCAACCCGGCTGCACTTGCTGCAGGCTGCCATCTGGGCGGTCCATCGGGGGGCTGTCAGGATCCAGGAGGCCCTGAGGGAGAGGGCCCCACTGGTGGCTCGTGACCCATTCCTCCCTCACGTCCTTCCACTTACCCCTCCCTAGCCCCCCTTCCTGGTGTCAAATAAAAGACACGTATGTTCAAAAACAGAAACTGGGTTTATTGAACAAAACTGAGGGGAAGGGAATGAACCTCTGGGGAGACTGGGAAAAGGAGGTGGGAGAGGGTGGAAGAGGGGAGGGGGAAATCTGGGAGGAGGGAGCTGGAAGGAGGAAGCAAGAGGAAGAATGGGGAGGGGAAGCTCAGAGCTCAGGGTTGGGGGTCTCACCGGACCAACTTGATTTTCATGCAAACCTGCTCCTAGGTTCGCATGTGTTCTTTGGTGGCCAGGCTGGCAGCTATCCTGCCATAGACGGCCTCATTCCTCCATCTAGTGCCGAGATCCCCCCCAAACCTGAATAAGGTCCATGATCTCCACCCAGAGCCAGGAAGGCACCCACCTTCTCCAGCCTCTGTCAGGCTCCTGGGAGCTGGCAGACTGCTCCTGGGGAGCGGTGGAGGGCTGGCTGCCAGGGTCTTGCTGGCTCCTTTTTTGGGGGGGCCCCGGTGGCCACTGCTGGCTCTGGGCTGGCAGGCTTGGAGCTGGCACAGGCACTGTGGCCAGGGTCTACCCCTTTAACAGCTCCGGGGCTGGGGGAGAGGAGAGTAAGTTTTCCTGGTTGTGCCTAGAGTGGCCACCAGAGCTCCCTAGGAAGGGCTGGAGGCCCCCTATTTCGAATTAAGTGTCTACACAGCACTTAATTCGAAATAGCCATTTCGAATTTGGCATTACTCCTCGTAGAATGAGGTTTACCAAATTCGAATTAAGGGCTCCACTATTTCGAATTAAATTCAAAATAGAGGTTTGCATGTATAGAGGCTATTAAAGTTAATTTGAAATAACGGCTGTTATTTCTAATTAACTTTGCAGTGCAGACATACCCAAGGTGAAATCCTGGCACCAGTATGAAAAAACACCCATCAGTTTCAAGGAGCCCAAGATTTTACCTGATTACTTTCAAAGCTGAGGCTTGTGAGACTTGACATAGATTTCCTCTCTGTCTGGCACATGCTCAACCCCCTCCCAACCCAGGTCTCATCCCCCTCCACTCCTTTCCCCAATCCCCTATTCCTGCTCCACCTCTTCTTGCTCCTGCTCTGTCCCCCACACCTCTTCCCCACCCCTTTCTGCCCCTTCCTCTCAGCACACCCCATCCCCAGGCCTCATTCTTTCTCCCAGAATCTTCTGCATGCTGCAGAACAGCTGATCTTCAGTAAGTGGGAGGAGCTGGGAGGTAGGGGGAGCAGTTGATTAGTGGGATCACAGTGGTGGGAGGTGCTGGGGGAAGTGAGGGAAGCTTGGTTGCTGGTGGGTGCTAAGCACCTGCTAATTTTTTTCTGTGAATGGAACACCCAGGAGACAGTGCCTCTGATCAGGGACCGACAACATCACTGGATCCCTAAGCAAGGTGTGTGGGGGGGATGACAGCTCCATGCTCCTGAAAGGGGCAAGACCTCAGGCAGAAGGGGTGGGGCAAAGGGAAGTCAGCCTTCTGTTACCAGGCCCATGGTGTGCCCCACACCCAGCACTACCTGGTGCATGCCACACAGCACCCCTGCCTCCTCAGGCAACTCTAAGAACTGCCCAGATCATGCTGCATGCCGCTACAGCAGCTATTTAAAAGGATCAGTGGTCAGAGCCCTGGGCCCCTTTGAATCACCAGGCCCGGGTCAACTGCCTCTGTTGGCGGGCCTGCCTGTGCTCATGGGTCAATATTCTGCTGCCTCATGTCTGGACCTGGCTAACCACATTAATGTGCAATTCATGGATGAGCTCCTTGTAGGAGACCTAGATTTCACAGGATTTTAGGATGCAGATAGGTGCAGTTGCAATCTACCTTGATATACAAGGGACAGGCTCTCAGACTAAGTAATTTGGTTTTCGGGGAGGGAGCTCAGCCACTTGGGGGATGGAGAGATCACTGATCACTTTCATTACTGACCACTTGCTCATGCAAGTAGGAGCAGCCCTAGCCTTTATGCTGACCAGGACAATAAACATTCTGGTTCTCACCTCCCAACCCCCTCTCCTCTCCATCTACTCACCTGTCTGACTAACCCATGTAATGAATGGCCTAGGAGCTTGAGAAGAGGCCCTCAGTTTTCCTAGTTGCTTCAGGAGGCCTAGTTGAGGATGAATATTATTTCTGTCACACCTGTCTATAAACGATACACGTATAGTTATAGATTACTGTATAAATCCATCAAATAAACATACACGTGCCCTCCTTGTTCATATAGTTTAATTTAATTTCCACGCAGGCAGCAGGGAAAGGAACAACACTTTTATTTCCCTTGGTTGCAGCAGAAAGGACATTGGATTCAGCTACATGACTGTCTGGTGTGCTCTGAGGTTTAATATTTACTATGGTTTGTAACAATCAATCATAAAGTACAATACCTATGCACTTGGCTTTAATAGTGTGTGGATTCTGAGCACTAGCGTTGTTTGTGTTTAAGACAAAGGAGCACTGAAACATTGGTTTAAATAATCTGAAAGGTATATATGGACTTTGCAAGCAAAAGAAGAAAAAAAGCACATCTAATTTTGGCTTTGTATTACTAAACCTCAACCTACAGCCTTTTCTTACATCAATTCCTACTGGTTTCCATGGGAGACATGGCTGAATAAAGATAGCGTCACAAAGGGAATAGAAAGCTGCTTTAGATATCAGCTGGGGATTCCCCTGACACCGGGGGAATATCAATTGGAGTAAAGCTAGTGTGTGCTCCCAAGTGTAGGAACAAGCTGGAGCTGGGTAGAGATTGGAGTGGTCCCTAGCTGACTGCTGTAGCCTTTGTGAAGGCATATCTACACAGCAGCATTATTTCAGAGTCACTGACGATATTCCAAAATAACAAAGAACACACCTACACAGCAAGCCATTATTTGGAAATAATGGTGAGCTGGAGAACTTCTTACTTATTTCACAAGGAGGAAGGGAAGTCAAAGGCAGAGTGTTCTTCCTTCGACTTCCTGTTATGTAGACCGCACCAAAAGCTGAATTCAGCTATTTCAACTCAGCTCTATAATTGATGTAGCTGAAGTTGCATAGATTAATTCGACTTTTGCCCTGCTGTGTAGACATGCCCTAAGTGAGACCAGCCAGTCCTGCTCCAAGACAAGATCAAGGGAGCAGAAAGGTATCTTAGATCTCTCCCCACCCCATTGACTTCAGTGGAATGACTCCAGATTCACATAGCATTTGAAGACTTTGACTTCAAAGGAGAGATTTTCAAAAATCTTTAGGAACCTAAAAATGCAGATTGACATCCCGTCAGATTTTTTAAAGAACCCAAATATGTAAGGTGCCTAACTCCCACTGATTTAAAAAGCTTACTAAGGTGCTTTTCAAAATCCTATTAGGTGCCTACTTGCATTCTTAAATCCCTTCATAATTTCAGAAATCTGACCCCAACTTTTTAACTCCACCCAGCTCTTTGCTTGAATTACACAATCTGTTTAGAAGGAAATGGGGAAATAACCCATAAGAATGTTTTTTTTATTTATTTCCAGAGGCAAAAGTCATTCAAGCTAGAAGGAAGAAAATGCTGCTGCTGCTATTATGGTTCCGTTTATTGCTTAAGGTGTCTCAAAATAGAGGCTAAGTCCAAACAAAAAGAAGAGTGTATTTTATCACACTACGTTACTTTATATCTATAATGAAGCTATAATGGGAAATAAATTAATTATAATGGGAATGGTGGACAACGGGAAGGAATTTTTGGCATCCCAGGTTAAAAATAGAAAAGGTCATTTTAAATTTGGGGAAACTGGTCTCTGATGCCAAAGTACCCTATTTTTTATTATCAAAATTTGCTGTGGGCAAATTCTTTACAAGTGATTATTTAATATGTCTCCTTACAAGCAACAGCCAAGATCTTCAAATTAGTGATCAGTGTTTTTCCATGCCTCAGTTTTTTAGTGACTAATCTAAGACACTTTAAAGGGGCCCGGTTACAACGAACATTCCCCCCTGAAAATTAAACCTCTATATCAAGTATCTCAGATAAGGCACCTGAGAGCTGTTGCACTCAAAATCACTTGTCACTTTTGAAATGGAGGCCAATGTCTACTATTGATTTTCATAAGATAAGACGTCAGTAGTGTTATTGTGGATTTATATTGGTGTAATTTGTGGCTTCCACGTGGCATTTTACTGTGAGAATGTACATACCAGCTTGCTGTACATCAACCTTGCTCTACATACCAGCTTCCTGTACATACACACCTTGTGTGTACATGTCTGCAGTGCAGTGAAAGTCCTGAGTATGACTTATTATTACTAGTTGAAATCATAGTACACTAAGCTGCACTCTGGGACTTCCAGCGTTGTGTAGTAATATTCCCATGGGGTGTCACTGCACAGCAAGCTAGTGCATTGCCAATTAACCCCTTAGTTTGCCATTAATAACCTACCTGAGCCCTAACTGCATTAATTTACCCTCAGAACATAGCTTTAACTAGATACATTAAAATATTCTTCAGTATCTGAGCAGGAAACTCCAAACATTCATGGTTTAGCACTATAGAGTATTAGGTGCTTTATGATATTTTCCAGAATTTCCATCTCTCTCTACAAAAGAGAGTCAGTTATCTTGAACTAAAATGCTCCTGATGTCTTTGAGAAAAATATAGCCGTATGAAAATAAAGAAATAATGTAAAAATATATGGTATGAAATTACAAAACACTTCAAACACAGCTCAATATTAATTCTCCAAACTAAAAGTGCTATTTAATTTACTGGAGAGAGAGTAAATGAATTTTAGATAAAGTCAGGCAGTTTTCTGATTCAGATCATTATTAGTGACTTTGAAATAAAGCTGTATACTCATCTTTTTGTATTAGTACATACACTTACATATGGATCACTTGGTTGATTTTTCAAAATGTGAAAAAATAATCAAAATACAAAAGAAACAAATTTCTATGCATTTATTCTGAAGTAAAATAATTTCCCCTCCCCAACTTCA